GAACGTAATTTAGAACTTAATAAAATTTCGAAAAAAGATTTTTGGTTTTAATTTTGAAATCCTTTTGACATTTTGAAATCTAAAATCAAACTTCAGAGAAAATCTTTGATCAACATTTCAGAATTTAACAAAATTTCGAAAAAAGATTTTTGATTTTAATTTTAAAATCTTTGGTCGACATTTTAAAATCAAATTTCAGGAAAAAAAATTTTATAATCAATATTTTGAAACCTAATAACCAAATTTCAAAAAAAAATCTTTGACCAACATTTCGAGGCTTGAAACAAAATTTGAAAAAAAGAAATATATCCATGGTTGATATTTCGATTAAAAATAACCCTGTTTTCGAGTCAGTTTCCATTGCGATTCGACGATGAACACCGACTTATATGTTAAAAGGCCGACACGTGATACACAAGGGAACGATAAGACGTAACATAACGAGAATATTTTTAGAACAAAACTAGTAACCGTCGCGTGAACAAGGCTCTAGCAAAGCTATCTTTAGGTCTGATTTACACTGACGATTCGGTTTACAGTTAGATACACGGTTTAAATGCCATTTCATCCGACATAATCTGTCAGTCTTTTATTACCCAACTTTGTTCCCTCGACACGAAAGTAACGAAAATCTTAGAAAGATCTAGGAATAAATCCGGGACGTAATTAGATTTGGATAGAGATCTCGACGAGGAAGGTTCTCGAAATAAAAGCAAATGTAAGTTCGTTTTATTACAGGCTGGATTTCAATGAAAAATTCGCTTTGCTTCGATTTCTAAGAAATTAGACATTCTCTTTTTTAATTGGATGATTTTTAATTTGCTCGTCCTAATTGGATCATTGATATTAATTGGATTTGAATCAATTGGGGATTAATTGAATCTAGAAAGGAACGAAGCTGAAAACAGTTTGAAAATTTAAAGATTGAAATTGATACTGATTACACAAATAATAATAATATATTTATTAATTTATTAAATAATTTTCTAAATTAATTTCTCGTTGTATTTTTTCATAATATTAATACTAATGCAAAATTTAATTATAATTTCAAATACCTTTTCGTGGACCTTCGATCTTTTCGTATCGCGAATACCAGTAATTTCTCTGAATTTTCATTTCAAGAATCGAGATGCTTATGAGAAGAATAGCAAGTTTCCGGTTCCTGTCTACCGAACTTAACTCGAAGATAAAGGGGCTATGCGTTTCGGTCTTGTGATCTTTTACATTCTTTTTATCCAACAAAGAAGTCTCTTACCTTTGTACAATACGGGTCACGAGTGGACTCCGTCAAACAAGACAACAACTTCCCTCCCTCTGCTATAAAACTAGACCATCTACGACTGCCGGCGGCGCCATTTTGTAAGCGATAACCGTGCACTTGAACCGGTAAACGCTCGCGCGATGATTAATCCTTTTAATCGATGTAACTATTATTCATTCTCTCAATAATGTATGAATATCACTAGATGATCCCCTCTAGTAACATTTTGTAACCCCTGGTAATCGTATGAGAGAGTCTTTGAAAGATCGATATTAGAGGCAAAAATTGGTGTATAAAAATGTTACACCGTTTCATTTTCACCATAAACTTGAATATATTAGTGAAATTCAATCATAGAATGTAGAATATTTTTTAAATTTTTGTGCTCTCTATCGTGATGAATTCAATTCAATTCGTTTTCCATGTTAGAAGATCGAAAAAAAGGAAGGCAAAGATAAGGCGTGAAAACCACAATGGATAAACCAATCGAACCCTCGAAAAAGCAATCACTTTTCACACTGTAATAAAGTTTCGAATACATATACCATCTACCATCTGTCCATTGGAACTGTTATAAAAAAGAAAAAAAGGAGAAGAAAGGATAGAAAATTTTATGGAATTCTCCCCGTAAAATCGATCTTCCCTTCACACTTATAGCTTTCGCTATAAGAAACTTCGATAAACTGTGAATGCGAAACGTTCACTTGGGTCCAGTGTGAAGAGGAATCGATAAAACGATTTGACTCGAGGTCTTTGGGAATTCCATCTCTCTCGTGGAAGCGAGGCCTGGTCGAAAACGTGGACATTGCACGTATCGGGTACACAGGTAGCCCGGCGTCATAAATTTAAAGCGTTGGACAACAACGCCGGTTGATCTAACCGCGCCTAATATCGTTACGAGCCAACAATCGTGCACTTGTGTATCACCGCATCGTGAAACCACCGCCAATCGCATCATTTCAAATTAATGACAGCCACGCGCCAACAAAATTTCCCACGATGTTCTGAAACATTAAAGATAACTTGGAAAACACTTTAAGAATACAATCTTTTTCAATTTACGAATTTCACTTGGATAAATTGAAACTTGTCAGACTGGAAAAGATCAAATTGCAAAACGAAGTTAATCCAGGCAAAAACTGTTAAATAACTTGTCTCTTCGAATTCTCATTAAAAAAGTTTCCCAAATGTTTCATTAATGAATGGATCAATGTACAATTTAATGTTTCCAAAATATTTTTCGAAAGAGTGGGATAAAGAAATTAGACCTGGACACAAACTAGACCTTTACCTGGCCAGCTGATTTAATACTCTGTTTGCCATAAGCAAAACAAACAAAACTCGATTACCAAATGTTCTAGCAAAGTTTCTTTATAGGCCGAAAGCTCCTTTGACTGATCCTTTCGTGACATTCAGTTTTTCTCAATATTCTTCTTACCACTAAGTGGAGAAACAC